ATTTTATAAAGACAACAGTTCAACTTAATCAGACTTTTTTAAATGTTTATTATTGGATGGTCCAAGTAATTTTGGAAAGAAGTGTAGCGTAACGCGCGATTTACACTACGCTCGTGCGAACACTTGTATGAAGTTCCATACGTTCCATTTTATTTTTACGCTAACGCCTAGTGTCCAAAATGGAACAGTGCGCGTAGAGAAATACGCCGAGAACAAAAACGCCCCCGTATGAACAGCTTCATACAATCCCATACGTTCTATTTTGACACATAGTCACCGCCTAGCGTTTTCGCGTCCGTGCGAACGCTCGCTAAAAGTATTATCAACCGTTAACAAAAAAGCTTCTATTCTAACGAATCAAAGCTCGTGTCCCAAGACCGTACAAATTGCAAATCCTAGTTTCTACGCAACCCAATGAGGTTTTACTAAAGCAAGTAACGAATAAGAATAGAGTTTTTGTGTGTTTAAATTAATAGCAAATAGTATAGAAAAAATTAGAAATCTCTACCTACTTCAGGTGTTATTTCATCATAAACATTAATCGTATTTTTCTAACATATGTTAAATCAATTCCCATAGATGAACCGTTAGCCATCGATATAAAAATATTTTCATTCCATTAAATTGAACTCTCAACTCACATCGTTCTACGATGCGACGCGAATTCAATACTAACCGAGCGAATAAGTACCAATTTTATGCCGCAGTAATTCGTTACAGTACTTTCAAATTACATACGAATGACCGTCTATTGTTATTTACTTATTATGAAATACAATGAAGACAAATCATTCGTTTTCGTTATCATCTAATGTATCGTGCTTAAAATTCGACTAGCTGTAGAGCTCACGTCTTCGCCCGCGTAAAATTAAAAAAATACAGAAAACATAGCCTACTATATGTTACTCACTAATAACTTTGTTTTTTAACGGTGAAAGAATTTTTGAAATCAACCCAGTAGTTTTCAATACATACAAAAATACAAATCTTTCCTCTTTATATTATTAGCATAGATTTGTAATATTCGCATCATAATCAGACACAACTTCTATGCTATCTTGGCTTCTAGGTAGAACGCCTACAATACACCAATACGAACAATTTTTGTAATTACAAAAACATTCAGTAGGCATTATCGCCAACATTCGGAGACCATTTATCACATAAAGTATAAAATCGCCCTAGTGACCGCCGAACTTCGAAAGAAGAAAGTATAAAAAACCAGAAAGAAACGGAAACTTAAGACACCTTCACAGTACGGTATGAAATACAGTAGAACCTCGATAAGTTAAAGTCCAAGGGAAACACAAAATATTCCAAGTTTTTAAGTTACCAAGGGTCTATATTGTAGAGGTTTTAGGCTCTGATGGGAAGGGAACATATTACTTTTTGAAGTTATAGAGGTTTTAAAGTTACTGAGGAGTTATCGAGGTTCTACTGTAACTCTAATACACCTTGTCAAAGAACTGCGTAGATAATTTCTAATGATAAAATATTGTTTAAGATAATTCAAAGACAGTTCCTTTGTTCTCGTAATAAATCTCCTCTATTATATTTTTACAAAGCTCGAGTTCAAATTATCGTGCTAAATTACGCCAGTTCAAATTCAAATGACTCCTCGTATTCTAAAGGTTCCAGCGTTTGAGTGCACTGACCGAAATCCCTTACAATCAAACAATGAAGTTGTACTTTACGAATGGTAACACTAGACACACAGTAGGCAATGTGTAATCCAATAATAGAAAGAGTAAATAAACTGACCGTTCACGCACTGTCTGACAACGTAATTTATTTACAATAGAGAAACTGCGATGCGCTTACTTTACGTATGGAAACCACATGTTTTAATAATTGTTTACTATTACGCACAATTTATTATTCCAATACTACTTATAAAACAACAAAATTAAGCTAATAAGCTTCATGTGCTTCGAAAATACCAAGTGAAATTAGAACACAAACATTACGGGTGAGCTAAAAGTGAAAGTTCTTCGCGTATTTCGGTGAAATCAGAATGATATCACCTAAAGTAGTTCAGACTTTATAAAATTACTAGTCATTATAGATTTAACAACTTGAAAACATTGTTGGGCATTTCTGACATGGCAAGCATATTCTCCGATAAAAATCTAATATGTAGGTCAAAATCCAAACGATAAAATCAAGAAGTTAGGGTCAGAAATGAAAAATTTCAACTCAATCCATCCTTTGCGAGTATTGCGCATTGGGTCGCGCTGGTTTTACGGCACGGAGACAAAATCACTTCTTACTCTTTCGAAATTTAATAAATAAATATGTCTTGCATTACATGAATTTGCTTCGTTTTCATTCAAAGGAATATAAGCGGGATAGAGAGTGAGGATGGGTGTGCAGACGCGGCCAAAGGGCGGAAGCTGTGCTCGTGCGAGGGAGCGGGCGACGCGGCGCCC